AGATGCTGGTGTCCAGCTGAAGCCGATTAATTGTGAACCACGAATCAATTCCAGCAAGGTCACAGAGTCGTGTCAGGCACTCAATGGACAATGGAAAAGGTGGCTTTCCCCAGCCATTGCCAAAGCATTCACTGAACAGACCAAGTGGAATCATTTCAGCTGTGAGATAACAAAGATGACGATTAAGTGCTCAAATTGCAGACTGAGATATATCCTTGTCAACATTTTCATACTCCAGAAGGCGCTTATACAGCTGTAGATCATTCCATGGTGAATCAACAGTCTTCTTAAAAGTGAAGCACCACACACAATAGACATGTGTAATAAAAGTGACAAAACAACGCACCTTGGTTACTTGATGACTAGCGGTAATGGTTCCTGCTGGCAGTTCTCCAATTTGCATCTTACGGAGTGCAATTTTAAGGCTGTAGATGAACTTTGCCATCCATCAAGCCTTATGCAGAGCAATAGGTCTCTGAAATTTTATCTCGTCATTAGATGCAGATAGAAACACAAGTGATAGTTCAGTGAACTCATGGTAATCATCATGCAGAAATTCGACATCTTTAGCAGCATGATCAATCATCTCAATCTTCATTTTAGTCAATAGGTCTTGCAACTGTGTGTCATGATCAGCGGGACGAAAAGGAACTATCTGAGTTGAATTATGTAGTATCCGATCCCAATTGCTTCGCAACCTTATGAAAAGTCTGACATCTGGTGATTTGGATGCTTCTATTTTCAAGTCAGTAAAGACGTGAGAGAGCAGGGCTTCACTAACATGATGACAACAACCTGACCATAGGAGAGCATGCTGCAGCTTATCTCGTATGGCATTGCAAGCTGCAGTCAGATGGCCAGTGTTTGAACTTGTTGTCTCGAATGTCATATTCACAACTTGATCGATACAACGCCACTCCTTCAACAGCTTCGCCGTCAACTGAGCTATTATTTCTCCAACTGACATGTTCGTCGCCTTGAAAAGCAGCTTCAGCTGTGATGAATCACCTACAACCAATGTCATATGCTCTTCAGTGATACGTGGATTGTTGAGAGTGGGAGTCAACTTTCCAGCCCAATGCAGAGTAAGGAGTTTGGGTGGTTACCAGGTGTTTTGAATTGTTGTCGCTAACTCACCTACAACCTTGCGCCTCGCACGATCGGCAGTGGTTTTCTTTTAGATGGTGCTTTATCTGTTGATTCAGAGTCAGCTTCCTAATCCATATCTTCATAGGCAGACTCTTCTGATTCGTCAGCATTGCTGTCTGCTGATTCAGTCAAAACTTCTGATGATACAGGCAGTTTTAATATTTCAATTTCATCACAAGCATACTTCAGACGCTTTGCTGCTGCAACATCGCGATCATGGCGCCTGGCTATCTTCTAGGCAAGTACTTTGTCAAATGCAACAAAGCTAGCAGCTCTATCCCCTTTCATTGACTGGACGAATGCAAGATCCTCTGGATTCTTGATGCCAACATGGATTGCATATCTTCCAGTTTTTTCTTTATGCTCGGTCACGACGGTTCTTTTCGATTGAATGGAGTTTGTTGCTATCATCTAAGAGTTTGATTATTTTCTCACATGCTCTTCTTTCTGTAACCATCGGTATGTTGGCTTTTTCATACAGCGATGCAATTTCTTTCAGTACTATTTTTGATGTTGTAAATCTTGATGGTGCACCAGTTGATCCTGGACGTTGACTGTTTACTGCTACATTGCAGTGGTATATCATGCTTTTTAAACTTGTAAGCAAGTTGGCAGCTGAATACCTGTGATTGTTCCATCATCTGCACATATAGCAGGGCTGATCCCAAACATCACATCACCTAGGCTAGTTTTATTAAAAATCTCCTCTGGGTTAATTAAATACCGGAGGATAAAAAAAAAAAAAAACTTTAACATTTATATTTTAAATAAAATTTAGAAATTAATTATATTGCTGACATTGGCTATGCTTTATTTTATAATATGCTATACTATCCTTTGTGCCACATTTATAATTCTATATATTAACTGAATAAACTGATAATCTTTTAAACACTATACACAGTACACATAAGCAATTTCAGTTTCTTTATTTTTTTATAAAAGTTACAAATAATAGAGAAAACAGTGTAAATTGTGAATAATACTGTATATTTACCAATCTGTAAAGATGATTGTTGATAAATCATGATTATTTATAACTTCTGAATTATTTATATAACTTCTGAATGGCAGACTATCATAAAACAATCTTAAAAAAATTAAACATGGCTACCAAAGACTATGAATAATGTCAAAGATCCAACAGAAAAAATTATGCGGAGCTTAATTTTAATTAACATATGTGAAACTTGTCTAGGCTGGTGGGACCTCTAAATATTGAGCAATTTTAATTCTTTTTTACCACAGTGTATCTTTCCACTAATAGAACACAACTATATACTAGACAACTCAAAAACTTAATATATATACATATATATATATATATATATATATATATATATATATATATATATATATATATATATATATATATATATATATATATATATATATATATATATATATATATATATATATACTTTATAATTTAATTTATTCAAAAAATGTGTTGTTATTGTATCAAAACTATATTTTTCTTCCTTTTTCCTATATTCTGTTATATTATTCAAAATATACATTGTTGTGAAATTAAAATCTATATTTTTCTATTTTAAATATAGTGGCCCCATAAAATCTGCATCTGTGGCATTGCATTAAAAAATGTAAAATAAACATCATTCAGACTTGGTAAATAGTTTATATTGGATTGGTGGATTAGAAAAAGTCATTATCTAGTAATGAGATGACTGCAAACATAAAACTAAATGTTTATAAAAAAGTTAAACTCTTGATTAATAACTCATCTAGGATGTCTAGAGATACTGATTCCATAATTGCTTAAAAATTTCAATTTTATAGTTAAAAGTTAATATATATAGTATTTAAAGAGGTATGTGTTTTCAAGGTAAATACTGTTATGCAAATGTAATTTTTTGCAAACTGGATTGTTATTGACTTTTGTACTCCTATCACTGATTACTTTTTCCAGAAACTTACAATGCACAGAAAAAAAACAGATGCTAATTTGAAGGATTTGTTATCAACTTTTTTTATATGGTGAAACTAAGTTGCCTTGTCAATAAAATAAGTGGCCTAGTCAGTACCAAATGACTTGAGAAGTCAAATGTTGATTCTAATAAGAGAAAATGCAATTATTTATATATTTTTTTCTTTACATCTTCACTTACAACAAGGCTGCAAGCAACCACTATATGAGTTGGAAGTTACTGGAAAAAGAAAGATGAAGTTTGTAGAGCAAGATAACGATTGACAGACTTAAAAGATTGCCAATTATATGAATCAGGAAAGCAAGATGAAGGGAACGAGTTCTAAAGAACTGATGTTCAAGGAAAAAAACTAGACAAATGAGAATTTTTTGGAGCACTTAGTAACAGTCACAGAAAAAGGATGAGACTTAATGGAATGATGAGTAACATGAAAATGAAATTTAGTAGATGGCACAAGAGACGCTAGCTCTTTAGAGCAGTGCCCATAATAGTTTTTGTAGAAAAGAGGAAGACAAGCAACCTTACGACCATGTGATAATGGTTGGAGGTTGGCTGCAAGAGCAGATCCAACTATGTTTACAATGCGTTTTTGCACCTTGTCTAAAAGAGAAAGGGCATCATTAGAAAATCCGCCCAAGATATGGCAACAGTATTCCATACAAGGCCATATTTGAGATTTATAGTGTCAAGCATGACAAAGAGATGTAACCTTAGCAGATGCTAATTTTGCAATGGATTTAATATATGGTCTCCAAGAAAGATCAGAAGTAAGAGTTAATCCTAGAAGATGAAGGGTATATGACTCATCGAGTACATTATCGTTCATAAATATAGGAAGATCTTAATTATTGCGATAACGATTGGCTGAAAAAGAGTTTTATCTGAATTAAAGTTCACCAGCCATTGTGAGCCCATGCTTTAGCAGAAGTGAGATCCTTTTCAAGCTCAAATGCCCCTTCCAAGCAATCAGAGAATATTGGCTTCTTATCATGAAAAGAATAAATGGTAGTATCGTCAGCGAACAATGCCACCTTAGATGTGAGATTATCTGGTAGATCATTAATGTAAATTAAAAAGAGTATAGGGCCAAAGATTAAACTTTGAGGAACCCCTGAGGTTACAGAAGAAGAAGAAGAGTGCTGAGAGGACTCAATAATCAACCAGATACACTGTAAGAAGAAATCTTGCAGTGTATCTGATTGTGTACCCTCATTAGGAGATAATAGAATGAGTTGTGTAGTCATAAAAACGGAGACACAAGCAAAACCCATGCATTAAGTCTAGAAGATCTAGCGTTCAACATCCTAAACTGGAAACAATGTATTAAAAATATATCTGCACCAGCCTAATAGATGAAAAAGGGGTGCGAGGCTGGTCAACAGATAGAATCTGTTTACCCCACAAGCCTTTGCCTAGGAGGCCTTTTATAAGACAGTAGCCGGATGAGTTTAACATCTACCCAAGATGAGTATTTTTATCCAAACACCATCTCCTTTACTCAACCAAGAGCCCTAAAGCAGGGGGTGTTTTAAATGGGAGTTGACTTCTCCTAGCCTTTGCCTAAAAAAGCATATCCTACAAGGCAGCAGGGCATGAAGCAGGTTGTACTGGGTTACATGTTACCAGTAGCAGGATAACCTGACCTGACAGTTATATTTTACAAAAATTTTTCAGACTGCTTTTTTTTTGCTACAAAATTTCTTAACTGCTTTTTTAAACACACTTAATAAAAACATAATAAAACTAAACAAAGCAAAAACAAATAGAACTTGTTAACAAATCTTGCATTATTGAATATCTGGTATTTCTTTTTAAATTGACTTCTGAAACCATTCCACATTTTTATTCAAATAATTAATGATGTCTTTAGATTTAAAAGTAAATACCTATCTATCTACCTACCTATTAAATTGTGGGAAAGTGATAACATAACATTTGTCCACAATACAAGCTACACTATTGTCATCCTGATGTCTTGATGCAAATACTTCCATCTGCGAACAAATATACATGTTTATTTATATAACCATTATACAGATTCAAAAGATGTCATAAAGAAATTACTTGCACGAAAGTAGCAAAGATTTGTACAATAAAATTTTTTTGTTAAGATGTTATTTTAAAAATATCAAGCCTCTTTATGCTCTTTAATTTAATTTCAAATCTTTACTTACATATGAGTTATAAATAAATCATAACTAATAAAAGAATATTTAAAAGTCATTAAGCAGAAAGGTATACTTCTCCAACAGAAATTTCTGCACATTTCCCACTTATTTGCTCTGGTTTATAATACCAGAATACAGATATCATCATATCATCCTTGTATGAGCCTTAATAAAAAGAACAAGATAAAAGTTAAAAATTTAAAAAAATTGTTACAAATTTTAAGTAAATAATCATTTACCACTGGTATCCTCCCATATAGCAGATATTCTGGCAATATAATCAAGATTATATCGTCTGGCTCCTGATTGCAATAGTACAGCATCATGTACAGAAATTGTTTCATCTTTTCTATATAAGCCTGTGTAAAACTTGCGTGTTATGTCTTCACCATGCTGAATAAATTTTAAAAGATTTGAATTAGTAAGAAAAAATAATAGTTTTAGCAAATTCTTTTATGTAATTACCATCAGAAAGAAAATACATCTTACAACTTTAACAATTTCTTCTATACAATCACCATCAAACCTCCACCCGTTGCAAGCCTTTAAAAATTGTAAAAAACATTATTAGTTTAGATAATGTCTAGATATTTGCAAGCATTGTTTAGCTATGCCTAAATGATTGCAAGCACTTCTTAGTTATGTTTGCAAGTTTGTTTGGCCATGTCTTAATTTTTCTATGTGTATTTTATTTAAGTGTAGATGAGGATAAATACTGTTTAGCTGTGTATAGTATGTGTTTGCTATATTTAGTTATGTATATTTTGTTTACTTGTGTGTAAATGTCTGCTATGTTTAGTTATGTGTAGATTTTTTTGTGCAAACAAAATTTTAAGGTTAAATTCAAATTTATATCAAAATTTAAATTCATAAAATACAACTTAAGTTAGAAGTTAAATTAGAACTTATAAATCACTAATAATAAAGAAAAGAAGCTAATATGAATTAAAAATGACAGTGAGATGTCATGTGGCTTATAAAGAACATAGCAGCAGCTAAAGTAATTTATAAAGAATGAGCATATCTGCAAAAAATCCATAAAATAAAAAAAAAAAACCTATTTATACTTAACAGAAAATAAAAATACCATAATTAAATAGTAACTAACTAGGAATTAATTTTGAAAACCAAGGTCAAATAAGTATAGGTCCGGCTCATAACCAAGTTAGGGATTATTAAGAAATGGGGGTGAAAAATTTATAAATAAAATCATTAGTATTATAAAATATGTTTTCTTTAAGCTCACTTTCTCCCAAGGCTCCAGAGAGGAAGCCTGGGAGAGAAGAAGCCTGGAAGGGTTTTTACAGTCGAGATGGTTACACATTTGTTTTTTTATTTATTTGTAACTGTTTCTCAATCCTAAAATTCTAACAAGAACATTGTTAAAACAGGTTAAGAGCGATACTTTCAGAGGTATAGGGTGGATTTGAACACAAAACTTCTTGATTATGAGCCGAATATTCCAACACTAATCTACAACTAAAATGTACATACTAAACTAATCTTACCCAGTATAGTTTCCCCTGTTTCCAGTTTTCCTAGTTCTCACTCAACCTAACTACATCTCCCTATTAGTGCTAACCAACATTTCTTATTACCATTATTTCCCTCTTCATTACTCTTTCCTTTTCATCCAAAAATACATTTTCCAACAAACATTTTAAGTGGAGATAGAGTGGACATATAAGTGAAGATAGAGTGGATATATTAGTGGAGAGTCAACAAATTAGTAGAAATAGACAATTTACTTTATTAATTATTTAGTATGAGCATACTCCTAATGATTGCAACTGCACTTGATTTTAGGAACCTATGGAGTCTAGATTATGAAAATTGCAGAAAATTAAGAAAATTTCAAATTTTGTTTATCTTTTTTATGAAGAAATTTAGAAATTTTGATACTATCAAATAAATTTCATCTTTTTTCTCTGCACAGCAGCAATTATTTGTCAATTTTTCATATTTTTAAGTGAAAGGGTTGAATAGAATGAAAACAACAAATTAATAAAAATATATGAGAAACCTTCTTGACTGTACTAGATACTGGCCCACACACCCTTGTGTAGGTGAATGCAATAGAACAAAAAAGTAAAAGTTTAAGATTTTATATTTTCAAGATAGCAATTATTAAATTATTATTTTATTTGTTAATAAAATTTTTGATAAAAACTTCTGTTATAAAATATTCTGTATTTTAAATACAAAAAAAAAATTATTAAATTATAATTCACTTT